AGTTCGAACGCACGGAAATCGAATATCTGGGTGTAATTATTGGACACAATTCGATGCGGATGGACCCAGTCAAGATCAAGGGCGTGATGGAATGGCCAGAACCAAAGAGCGTCAAACAAGTCCAAGCGTTTCTAGGGTTCACAAACTTCTATCGACGCTTTGTCCGGGGATACGCAGAGGTCGCCAAGCCGTTGACACGGCTGACAGGGAAGGCAGGATGGTCATGGGGTACGGATGAGCGTGCAGCATTTGATGGATTGAAGAAGAGAATCGCGGAGGATGCGGTCCTAGCTCTACCAAACGACACCGGCCAATATCGTCTGGAAGCCAATGCTTCGGAAGGGGCAACAGGATCCGTTTTGAGCCAAAACCAAGACGGCATTTGGCGCCCAATCGCATTTATTTCGCATGCATTAACGGAAACTGAGCGAAATTACGAGATCTACGACAAGGAAATGCTTGCAATCATGTTATCGCTCGACGAATGGAGGCAGCTACTCTTGGGGGCCACAGAAACGTTTGAGATCTTCACTGATCATCAGAACCTCGAGTACTTCCGGAAGCCACAAAAGCTCAACCGACGACAAGCACGATGGATCACAGAATTAGCAGAATTCGATTTCACCTTACGACACCGGCCCGGCGCACTCAACCGCAAGGCGGATCTCTTATCTCAACGAGCGGATCACGATCAGGGCAAGAACGACAACAAGGATATCACTCTGCTGAAACCCGAATTCTTCCGGTCACAAGAAGTCACATTCGAGGGGCAAGATCAGCAGCTAATCGATGAGATCAAGGCTACTCGATCGATTGATGGAAGCGTCAAAGCGGCCTTGGAGAAGTCACTCGTCGGATGGAAAAAGGAAGATGGGCTCATCACGTACCATGGGAAGCTCTACGTACCGAGGAATGAGGAGCTACGAGACAAGATCATCGGACTACACCACGACACACCTTTGGTCGGACACGCTGGGATCAACCGAACGCAGGAGATGGTGGAAAGGAACTACTGGTGGCCAAGGATGGGAAACCAAATTCGGAAATACATCCAGACGTGCGAGGCGTGCCAACGGACCAAGACCAGGAGAGCAAGGACAGGAACCCTACACCCGCATGCGATTCCAAACGCGCCGTGGGAAATCATCTCAATGGACCAAATCGGACCCCTGCCGGTCAGTAACGGGTATGACGCAATTCATGTGTGGTGTGACACCTTCACCAAAATGATCCATGTCGAACCAATTAGTACTGACATCAGCAGCGAAGGAGTAGCACGGTTAACCAGGGACCGAATCTTCCGCTATCACGGGGTCCCCCGCAAAATCATCACCGACAGGGACTCTCGATACATCAAGGGCTTTATGAAGGAAACGAATCGGATGTTGGGCGTGGAAATGAATCCGGGGACCGCATATCACCTGATCACGGATGGGCAGACGGAGCGTATGAATCAGGAGATCGAACACTATCTCCGCATTTACGTCAACTACCATCAGACGGACTGGTCGGAGTGGCTGGGAATGGCGGAGTTTGCATACAACAACAAAATGAACACGTCTACCAAAATGTCGCCGTTCTATGCTAATCACGGATATCACCCATGGAAGGGAGTGGAGCAGCGGATGGAATCAAGGAACGAGTCGGCGGAGGAATTTGTAAAAAGAATCAAAGAAATACAAGACGAAGCAAAAGCAGCATTGGAAAAAGCAAAAGAAAAAATGAAAAAATACTACGATAAACAAAGAAAAGAAGTTCCGGAGTTGAAGGTTGGGATGAAGGTATACATAGAAGGGGAAAATATCGAGACAGACAGGCCTTCGAAGAAGATGAGCGACAAGAGATTAGGGCCATACGAGATACTGGAGAAGGTTGGAGCGGCTGCATGGAAGCTGGATTTGCCGGACACGGACCGAAGACACCCGGTGTTCAACGAGTCACTGTTGACACCCTATCACGAACCACTCCCCCATCGCCGAGAGAAGAGACCCGTGGCCAAGATGATCGGAGGAGCAGAAGAGTGGGAAGTTGAAGAGATCGTGAAGGAGCGAAACGCTGGCCGAGGAAAACAGTACTTGGTCAAATGGAAGGGATGGCCGCATAGCGAGAACACCTGGGAGCCATCACGACACCTTACCCACGCGAAGAAGGTCCTGAGAGATTGGCAGAGGAAACAATCAAACCCAGACACACGCATTCGCCTCTTGCCAACACTCGAAGCTGGACATTGGGACTATCTGATTCATCGCTACCAACCAAAAGACGAGCGCCTTCCATATCCCCAACGACAGCTCTTCGACCCTTATGAGAACGTCTTCTTACCCATTGGCCTAGTCGATGAGGACATCGACCCTAGAGAGGGGGTAATGTCATAATTCGGCCACTTTTTCATCTTATCATCAACGATCTTATCTTATCTTGGCACGACTTATCTTATCACAGATCACGGCATCAGACGGTCCGGACTAGGGGTTCCAGGGATTATCTTCATCGATTCGAGGCTGCGCGACATATGCTCCGGAAGGTTCTACTACGACCCATGACCAGCGTTCCATGCGGTACATAGCCCTATGACTCATTAGTTGTAGATATGACTCAGACTGGATTTGGGTATAAATACTGTAGCTACTTGGTTGTATTCTCCAGTCTTCGAATTCACTTCTCTTTTCGACTCTGTTTTTGGGTTGATTGTCACATTGTTGAGATCGTTCCACACCTCTAGCTTGGCAGTGCGTCGACTTGAGAACTTTGGTTCCACACTTCTTGCTTGGCAGTGCATCGACAAGTTGTGCTTGGGTTTCGGATGTTGGCTGTTAGTTGGCAGTGCGTCAACTTGACATTTTGGTTCTACTAGTTGGCAGTGCATCAACTCAGTATCTTGGTTGTATCGGTTGGCAGTGCGTCAACTTGATATTTTGAGCTTTGTGTCACCATCTGGACGCTGTTGCTACAAGGGATCTTAATACCTTGTATTCAGCTCTGACTTGTGATATTGTTGGATGTGGTTGGATTAGTGTCAGATTTGACTGTATAGAAGATATTGGTTGAGACACCACTGTTTGCTATATATAAATTCTTGTCGTCGACTTCGTCTTCTGCAACTATTGGATCTGCGTCTATTGAGAGTTGTGATACTGGTGTTCTGTCCACCCCGAAGCCCTCGCATCTTTCACACACTGAGAAGCTGATTATGAGGAGTGTGAACGTGTTTATATTTGGGTTGTCTTAGTGTATCTGGGTATGGGCGCGACTCGCCGTGACACTTGGAAGTGTCACTGCGACGCGTCCACAATGTCCCGTGATCAAATGGATCCTGACATGTGACAAGTTGTCGCCGTAGCATGATCTGAGGAAACGTCCAACTCAAAACCGGGAGTTGCCGCGACAAGATTGGTTCAATCTTGTAACGCCAAGTCCTGTCCAGTAGTAGTCGTATTATTGAGAACGTCGCACATTGCTCAGCCCTTCAGCCCAAGTTCCCATCTGCAGAGAATGACCCTTTTGAGAAGTCGCCGCAACAGAGATCCCTTTTTGGGGAATTGTCGCGGTTCAAGCGTTTGTCACTAATAGCCCTGAGCCTGGTATAGACTCATAAGACCAGTTCCACAGTAGTGGTCTGACTGCCTTGCTATTGTCGACACTATCCACAGTCGTCAACTGGGCAGTAGACCCTTGAGCCCTACTGAGCGCAACACTGTCAACTGCGACACGATACACTGAATGGTTCGAGAGTAAACTCTGTAAAAGCGCAAAAATACGCTCTTACAGAGCTGGTGCAGAGCGCGTCTGGTAGCCAGCCTATCAGCGGATGTACCAAAAGGCATCTGCAACGGCTTTCCAAATGGTTTGGCTCTCTCTCCTCCTCTGTCCAACTTGCATATCCCAAACAATCATCAGTTGGCTCTGGATCATGCTGATGTCATTGACACCTACCTTCTTTCTGAAATTGCACTTGGCAGAGTTTCACCGGGCTACAACCAGTTGTTCATCAAACAATTCATAGGTGTATGTTAATCATCACTTGCATTCATATGTACCTCATACTCATCCCTCAGTTTGTCAATACATCTCCTCTGGGTGTTGTCCAGAAAGACTCATCCGACCCAATAAGCAATTTTTGTATGATTAACAATCACTCATACCCATGCAACAACCTGGCCATTCACTCAGTAAACAGCCGGATAAACAAGTTGGATTTTCCGTGCACCCTTTCTTCATGGTGCGCCTGCTACTGAATCATTGCATCCGCCCTATCTCGCACCCAGGCATCTGTCTTTGATGTCAAAAGCGCCTTCAGGAACATCCCTACACTACCAGCAGACCGCCCGTTTACTGCTATCTCCTGGCAGGGCCTCATTTTCCTGGACCACATATTCTCCTTTGGGGCAACAAGCTTGCCCAGTGTCTTCAATCGCCTCGTGGAACTATTTGTTGTTCTCTTGAAGTTTTACAGCGCAGAAGAGATCTTGAAGTGGGTAGACAATTTTGTGTTCTTCTGGAAGCCGGTGGAGATAGACCTCTACAATCATCCCACCTACGCAATTGACAAATCCCTTTTCATTGACCTAGCAGCCAAACTTGGCTTCCCATGGGAGATGAAGAAGCACTCGCTGTTTGGTGACACCTTCAGTTACAACGGATTCGACTAGTGCATCTCTAGCCAGACCTGTACCCTACCAGAGAAGAAACGGGTAAAGTATTTGACCCGGATTCGAGACTGGCTGGCCAGCCGCTCAACATCAAGGAAGGAGAACAAAGTTGTTGTTGGGATGCTCAACCATTTGGCCGTAGTCGCCCCAGAGGGTCGATCATAACTCGTCTCTCTTTATCGACTTTCTTCAGTGTTCAACCACCTCTTAAACCCATTTGCCCATCTTTCCATCTCCGCAGAGGCCAGCCACGACACATCATGGTGGCTCTCTAGGCTCGCTTCACCTTTCACCCTTCCCATCACCCTTGCACCTGCCATGCATCCATATAGTATCTTTGTTGACACATTGATGTCATGGGGTATTGGCCTGTTGTGGAGGAATCATTGGCTGGCGTGGCACTATAAACAGGGATGGGACTTACCAGGTCATAATATTGGGTGGGGAGAGATAGTGGCAGTCGAGCTCGCAGTTTGGACAGCAATTGCCCTGAGCTTGACTACAACCACCCTCCAACTCTGTTTGGACAATCAGGGTGTCATTGGGGCTTTGAACGCAGGGAAATTGCACAACGCCAAAGAAAACCTGGTACTTCAGCAAATCACATCTCTTCTGCTTGACCGCGACATTTGGCTAGACATTGTCTGGGTCGCTTTGCCAGATAACCTTGCAGACGCACTGTCACGCAGAAAATTGGGATGCATAGATTCATTAATCAAGATTATTCCTAAACTACCTGTTGAATTACATGACTCACTGTACAAGGTCACTGATTTAATAATTTGAGGCCTGCTCCTACTTAATCAGACCACTGTCACATTGTGACCTATTATTCTTCCTCTCTGGCTACCACTACGCAATACCCCTCTCATTTGCTTGCTCTGCATCATGCCACAGGCCACCACCGCCAAAACTTGCAACTGCAGATCAGTACCATCCCTGTGTGCTACCTATGGAAACCAGCCACCTGACATTGAAGACAACAGCATCATTCCATCTATAATTATTAACGCATGGGCTCCATTGACTCGCAAGAAGAGCATACCCATAACGTCTTTATTCCAAACCTTCTGCAAAGAAGAGGGCATCTGTGCTCTCCCAGCTTTGGAAACAACTCTTTGCAAATTCACTCTGCACTGTGCTGGTACCATTGCAGGTGTTACTATCCGCGGTGCAGTCGCTGCAATTCACACATGGCACACACAACTGGGCCACATCTGGAAAGGAGGCGAGCGTCTCTTGGCATGCCAAAAGGCAGTGGAAAACCTTACACCAGCATCGTCACACTTCCCAAAGCGCCCACCATTCACCATGCAGCACCTCAAAACCCTTGCAGCCAAGGTCTCAAAGGACAACCCACTCGATGTGGCTGTCTTTGCCCTTGCCATGTCAGCGTTTCACAGTCAGCTTTGCCTTGGCAAGGTCCTATCCCCCATGCAAGGCGCATTTGAAGACCGCATGATCTCTGCCGTTTCTGACCTCACTGGCCCAATAACAGCTTCCAGCTCAGTCTTGCTGTTCTTACCCTTCACCAAGACAAAAGGTTCCAGAGGTGATACAGCAATCCTCTGCTGGCAAGATGGCCCTACCGATGCCATTGCTACCTTGGCGCATCACCTTTTGATCAACCAGCTCCTGCATGACTGCCCCCTGTTCTTGTATTGCAGTAAGAAGAACAGTGTCGTGTGCCTAACAATAAAGACAGTTGTCCGACAAGTGAACAACATCTTGGGCCTACTTGGGCATCCACGCCTTACAGGCCACTGCCTCCGCATTGGCAGGACAACAGAGCTTCTATGCTGTGGGGTTGATCCCTTGGTGGTGAAGGCAACCAGGCGCTGGTCCTCAGACACTTTCCTCAAATATTGGTGCAATCTCCACATTTTTGCGCCATCACACATTGAGTTCCTATGTACCAACAATCCAGTTTTGGATCAGCAGGCCTCGCGTTGTGCAAAATTCCTATGCTGGCACTACTATTCCAATAATCTACTACACAGTACTATAGTATCTAGTATACATTGCATCACCGTCATGTTGCTCAGTTTGGGGGCTCCTGCTTGCGGTGTTTTGTGATCGCGCCATTCTGGCTCTTGTTGCGGGCTCTCCCACACCACATTGCGTTAGGCAGCATTTCCAGATCATCCAGCAACGTTCCAGCCTGGTCCGTGTTTCCTGCTTGCAAGGGACCGCTGTGTTTCCTGCTCACAAGAAACGCGGATCCGTGCTTCACCTGACACCCCCAAGCGGCAGCAAGACTGATCCCACTGAAGACTAGATGCCGCGAAAGGCACTACCACCTTGTGAAGCCCGAAAGGCGTATTTTTGTGCTTTTGCAGAGTTTCCTCCTGAACTACTTGGTGTATCATGTTACGTGTGCCAGTGTTGTGCTTAGTCGGACTTAAAGGTGTGCTGCCCAGTTGATGACTGTGAATGGTGTCAACAATAGCAAGGCAGTCAGACCACTACTATGGAATTGGCCTTATAAGTCTATACCAGGCTCAACGCTGGTAGCAACAGACACTCATGTTACAGCAATTCCTCAAAAGGGATACTCTTGTTGCAGCAACTCCTCAAAAGGCTCACTCTCCATAGAGGGAACTTATGTTGAAGGGCTTAGCAATGTATGACTGCTCAATATAACAACTACCACTAGAAGGGACTTAGTGTTGCAAGATTGAACCAATCTTGTCATGGCAACTCTCAGCTTTAGGTTGGATGTTCTCTTGGATCACACCACAACAATAACCTGTCATAGGCCATGTTCCAACTCAATCACAGGATACTGTGGACACGTTGCAGTGACACTTCTGAGTGTCACGGCAAGCCATGTCTATACCCAAACACAACAAAAGCAACATAGATGAGATCCATGAGCTGAACTATGTAAGCAATGCTTGGCATGCCTATGTGACAATTAACAAGAAATAATGTTGAAAAGAGGAGTGAATTTAAAGACTGGAGAATACAACCAAGTAGCTACAGTATTTATACCCAAATCCAGTCTGAGTCATATCTACAACTAATGAGTCATAGGGCTATGTACCGCATGGAACGCTGGTCATGGGTCGTAGTAGAACCTTCCGGAGCATATGTCGCGCAGCCTCGAATCGATGAAGATAATCCCTGGAACCCCTAGTCCGGACCGTCTGATGCCGTGATCCGTGATAAGATAAGTCGTGCCAAGATAAGATAAGATCGTTGATGATAAGATGAAAAAGTGGTTGAACTATGACAGCCTAGGACTATATGGCTTCTTGGGGTACACACATTGGACTCACTTGCCAAGACATACCAGTTGAATTACTGTAAAAAGCAACTGATCTCAGATAGCTTAGCTACTATGCAGCTGTACAGGACTTGATTAAGCACCAGTGTGTCAGGGGATGCTGCGCTCCTTGGGCATGTGAATATGCATGTAACCCACTGCGCCCTCTCTGCTAACCCATGCCTGCTCACCTGTCAATCACCCAGCCTCCTCCTCCTCCAATCCTCATCTCCATCTATGCCAACACCCGCCCTCTTCCTCCTTCCCCCAGCCATCTCCCTCGAATCCCTGCAAGCGGTCTAGCCAAGCCTGATTTCTTGCACCAGGGAGTGCTACTGCCATATGCACTTCTCCCCCTTCACTTCGGCTTTCTCCCTGCGGATGTGGTCTACTGCCATACAGGCTCGTACCAGATGCCCTTGCGCTCATCTGCACCATCCCTCTTCCCAGTCGGGCATTGGTCCTCACCTCTAATGTCTGCACTGGCTGGCCCGGTACTGGCCTGGCCACTGGGCTCCTCTAGTGTGGCCTTCCTCTGTTGGTGTCTCAGGAGCTGGCCATCACTGGCCCCTCTGAGCCACTCACTATCTTATCTGGGTTTGTTATCATCTACTTGTCATCTGCCATTGTTCCATGGTAGTGATATCCCATCATCAGCAGTCACTTGTCACAGCTAACTATATAGTGTGACACCTGGGCACATGGATCCTTGAACTGTTCTCTAAGGATCCCCTTCTGTGCTCAGGTGAGTAGCGTACATCTCTTGTATTTGATAGTCTCTAAGAATCCCCCTCTGTGCTCAGACTCATGTGAGGTTGTTGTGTGCTGTGTGCTCTCTTCCTTTGGGCTGGCAGGAGTTGTCCTTACACAGTGTAGACAGTATAAGTAGCGTGATGCTTCTTTGTATTAGGCAGCTTTCCTCTGGACAGTGAATCATACCCATATCAGATTGTTTTCTGCAATTTGCATGCTGTGTGATTTCTCCTTAAGAAGTTCTGTTATCCCCTGCCCAGTCGCAACAAGTTGCTCTTGAGCACCTGTAGCTACCATTATTTGAAGTTTGATTTTGAGCTGAGACATCAGAAAGTTGGATCTGCCACTTCTGGTTGCGCTGTGACACTTTGTGTTGCTACTTTGTGAGTTGTTAAGATTCTTCCATACCTCTAGCTTGGCAGTGCATCAACTTGAGAACTTTGGTTCCACACTTCTTACTTGGCAGTGCATCAACAAGTTGTGCTTGGGTTTTGGACTTTGGATTTGGCTTTTAGTTGGCAGTGCGTTGATGCAGCATTTTGGTTGTACTAGTTGGCAGTGCCTCAGCTTAGTATTTTGGGTTTTGCATCACCATTTGGATTCTGTTGTTACAAGAGATCTTAATACTTTGTATTGGGCTCTGACTAGTATCAGAGAAACCCCCGCTTTGAACCAATCAGCCTGGGATCTGGTATGTGATTGTGCTTGTGTGACCTGTTAGCTGTCATGTCAGCAGCCCAGACCGCCATGCCAAGTGCTTCTCTCTGATGGCAGGTGTGCCATTGTTTCTATTGTCTCTATCTCCCATTGTTCTGTCATGGCCATTGTACTTATTGTTTCTCTTGTTCTTGTTTGTTGCTGTGTAGTATAGTGTTCCTGTATTATATAAATAGTAGGCACCTGGCAAAGAGAATCCCTATCACAGTTGCTCTTTGGATTCTCCCTTGCCAGGTATGCCAGTCTTGTACCTAGCTACCCTTTAGTTACACTTTGGATTAGCCCTTGCCAGGCCTCAAAGATAGAGCCTCGAGGTTGCCCTTACAGCAGAAACTGTGTTCCTAGGAATAACCAAACAAGCTTGTAAAGACTTGTCAACAGCGTCATTTGTCTCTTACTTCCAACCTTGCCCTCTCCTCCCCCTCTACAATCACCATGTTCTACATAGAAGGAGAAGACAATGGCTCCTCCCCTGAGCAGCAACTTGGTTGTGTAGAGAAGACCATGCAACGTATGGAGAGAGCCCTTTACAACCTCATAACTATGCAGCAACAAACTGTGACAATCAACCCAAAAACAAAGTCAATTAGAAGAATGAATTCCAAGATGGGGGGATACAACAGAATAGCTACTGTATTTATACCAAGTTCAGTCTGAGTCATATCTACATCAAACAAGTCATGAGACTATGTACCATGTGGAGCATTGGTCATTGGTTGGAGTAGAACCTTCTGGAGCACACGCTGTGCAGCCTTTGCACAGATAACACCTCTGAACCCTTGACCCGGACTGTGACAATCAACCCAAAAACAAAGTCGAAAAGAGAAGTGAATTTGAAGACTGGGGAATACAACCAGGTAGCTACGGTATCTATACCCAAATCCAGTCTGAGTCATAAGGCTATGTCCCGCATGGAGCACTGGTCATGGGTTGTAGTAGAACCTTCCGGAGCATATGTCACTCAGCCTTGAATCAATAAAGATAATCCCCTGGTCCCCTAGCCTGGACCATCAGATGCTGTGATCCATGATAAGATAAACCATGCCAGGATGAGATAAGATCATTGATGATAAGATGAAAAAGTTGCCAAACTATGACATGGACCATGTGATGCCGTGATCCATGATAAGATAACCCATGTCAAGATCAGATAAGACTGTTGATGGAAAAGATGAAAAAGTGGCCAAACTATGACACTACTGCTCTGCCCAGGTCATACAAGTAGAAATGTGATCTAATCTACTTAGTACATCTTATCTTATTGACATTGGTCACCATCCAATAGTAGAATAGGCATTTTCAAGTTCATAAATCTAGCTCTTATGTACATTCTATGTCAGTATCATTGAAGAGATTGCAAAGTAATACCTGACTTTTACTTCCCAAATAGGTCAAAAAAATAGTAAATTCTCTAGTGTTGCGCACGTCACAAGGACCCCGGGACTCGGCAGCCATGGGCCCATCCATGAGGAAGCCCAAGGACGCCCGCTAAACGCCCACAAAAATGTGGCTGGGGCCCCCCACTTCTCTGTGGGGCGCCCAGCTGCCGCCCAGCCCCCATTCGCCCAATACCATCGAGGTACCTTTTTTGGGCCTCAAAGAGGTACCGCGAGAGATACGAATATGGGGTGGTGTCCATGATGGTTCTGCATGAGCACGATCTCAAACCGAGCTTCTCCCCGGACGACAGTAAGCATCCCGTGTGAAGGTTTTCGTAAACAGACATTGCCAGTGGGGGCGCCGACTGACGCAGGTTGTTGAGAATTTCCCGAAATGAAAATGCAGCGAGCTCTCAACGATTCCAGTGGCAACAGCCACCTTCTACTACTGCGGGATGTCTTCGGAACCTGGTCTGTCCCGTCGAAAACTACCTCGTGGCTGTATGGAACGGTGGTATGTATAAAGGTGAACAGACGGAGGCGTAACAATATACTCAACCACTCCAAACTTCTGACTGGTCTCCCCATGTCTCGACTTGCTTTTTTCTTGACTTTAATTGTCTCTTTCGCATCAGTCTTCGCAGCAGAAATTGCCGAGCGGGGCACGGCCGATCCCTCCTCCGTCCATGCGTGAGTGAATTCATCTACTCATTAATAAGGCGCGTCTAAACTGTGAATTGTGTGTGAGCAGGCTTGGATATGTCCCTTCGGTGAGCCTCCCCCGATTCGAATCTGCTCTTCGAGAAATGAACCATACCATCTCTAGCGACACTTTGCCACCATGGGAATCATCGCGTTCGCGCAATCGGTAGTCGTGTCTCTGATCCACTTCATCTGGGTCCGACCAATCAAGCTCTCTCTGCTTACTTACGTTGTCGGAATGACCGGTATGCTACGGACCCGCGATCGAGTCCAGCCGCCTTTGCTGACGACGGTCAAGCGCTCACCACTGGTTTCCTCCTCCGGGCCATGGACGGGGCCCCGCCTTTCTATCTGTGGAAGTACATCGCCTGGGATCTGGTGCGTCATCTCCACTCTCGCTAGGCAGAACGGATCCAATCTTTGCTAACATCGTTTGCAGTTGATTCTTCTTTCGGTGCCTAGTTTCTCGCACTCATTGCGAAACCAGCATTGACAGCCTGCAGCCCAGCTTCTTTATCGCCACATGCTACTTTCTTCTCGCTCATCTGGGCAATACGTTCAAGCCCGATGTCGTCTCACGGTGTCTTTTCGTCAGCCCCTCAGGCATTATGACGTTCTTTGTCGGGAGCAATCTCGTCAGTTTCCTGCTGGAGGGTGGCGGCGGAGCTTTGACTGTCTCCCAACATGATTCTCTCGCCGCAGCGGGCTCCAAGGTATTTGAGTCCTCCAGCCACAAGAGGATTTCAGTTGTAACTCGATCTCGTAGATTGTCTTGACCGGATTCATTCTCCAGGCGGCCACACTGCTGCTCTTCATCTACCTTCTGACTTCTTTCACTATCCGAATGTATGGCCGCTTTGCATGTCCCTGACTCACTCTCTGATTCACGACGCCAGGTCCAACGACTACCCTCATCTGTGGAAACCCACCAAGGGGGCGCCTTGGAAGATAATGTCTGCTGGGCCGATCGACACCTGGCGCCTGCTGGTCTACATGATCTTCATTGTCTGCGGCGGACTTCTGGTGCGCACGGTCTACCGCGTGGTTGAATTCGCTGGAGGGTACGTCTTGTCCAGCTGGCAGGAAGATTTCCGTGAAAATGACCTGCTCACTGCAGATACAACGGCACCGTTGCCAATAAAGAGCTGTACTTCTACCTCTTCGAAGCGCTGCCGCTCGCCATGACCACGTCGATGTTCATCTCGCTCTGGCCGACACGCTTCCTCCATCGTCAGAGACACCGTTATTCGCTCCCCAGCAGACCGAGCGAGGAAGCGCTGAAACTTCAGCCAGTCACCGCAGTTTGAATTTCGTTCTATGTCTTGCATCGGATCTCCAAATGCCTCGCTTTCTTTCTTCTTCTTATAATCTTGTACTTCACATTTGTTCTCTATACGAACAGAAATGGACCTGGTTCAGAGTATCAGCAATAATGTCATAGTCAGAACACGCCAGAATGGTTCACTCGTTCTGCTGATCTCTCGAAATTCATCCTCTCAACCTGGGCAACTTGAATTTTCCGGGAAACTGCGAGGTTGACGAAGACGACGACTAAAAACTCTGCCCATGCGGTCTGGCAGCTTGCTGTTCACCGACCTTCCATTTGATACTCTCCTTTAAACCATCCACGACGATCAGTAGCGCGGCGCCAATTCGTTTCTGGCAGGCTCGATACGATGAAGGGGGACTCCGCCAGTTGGGCAGCGAGTCCCATGGCCGACCTGGACCGCACTCACACGTTCAATAGTGAGATCTTGATATCTCGTGGGTAATAAGCAGTAAGCAGCGTAGAATTGGAACAACATCAACATCAGGACAGGACGTGCCGTTCAAGAAGGAATAAGATCGCGACAAAATGAGCAATGCACCCTTTCAATTCCCTCGGATTTGTATAGCCATGGGCCACGTCTCAGTACGGCTGGCGCTGAGTGAAGGTGATCTCCGCGTCAATGGGGTTGTAAGTGGTCACCACGTTGTGCAAGAACACATCGCCGCTAGAAGAGCACCGCATGAGAAAAGCAGCGAGGAATTGATGCGGGGCACGCACAGCACGAACGTGTTTCCAGCAACATCAGGCCCGCCGTCCTGCGTCCCGGAGATGCATATTTCCTTGCCATCACTGCCCTTCTGGAGCGGAACTACCTGGTCCCGGGGATCGATCTCGAACCGCTTTCCGTTGATAACGACGTTCAGTACCGCAGCAGTGGCGTTGCACGGAACCACAAAGGACTGCAGCTCCTGATCGAATGCACCAGGGGGAACAAACAGCGCGTTGTAGGCGGCTGCCACGGGAGTCGCGACGTAGTTCACGGTTGTGCCAGAGTCGACGAACGTGTTGTTGCTGCTGGTGGGGATAGACATGCTGCCTGGGAAATCGTAGCCAGTGACGTTGAGGGAGTACCACGCGTATTCGCCGGCACTCGAGTTGGCCGTTGGCACGAGCGACCCCGCCGCGTTGAACAGCCATTGGGTGACTGGCACGGTCGTCTCAACGCCAGTGACAGGGACAGGGACGATCCCCCCGAATGCAAGCAGCCCAAGATTGGCATCAACAGGATCGTTGGTGGCCTGGGCAAGAGTCGGCCGGTTCAGCGAGTTCGAGAAGTCTGCGCGCCGTCAGCTCCTGTCCCGAGTCATTCGCGATGGACACCCACAAGGCTTCTTGACGATCCCCCGCTGGAAGGCAGTCTGGAAGAACGGACTGTACCGCATCTGGACCAGCCCATCGCTTGTGTTGTTGTACACACTGGTCAAGGACGGGAAAGCCAGCCCCAGCACGCCCTCCGAGACACCATCGCCCAGGAACGCATTGTGATTGGGCACGCCGATCTCCTGCTGGTGTACACGCACGCTGCCGACCGAGACCGTGTCGAATCCAGTGGGCCCGCGCAGCGATTCCCCGGAGCCGTAGCGCACGAAAAACGTCGCGTTCGGGAACAGCGTGAACGTGGGGGATGCGCTAGGGTCGAAGGTTGCCGGACCGAAGTCGCACGCACTCGCAGCGATCGGTGCGCCCGTGAGATTGAAGCAGCTGAAGTTGGTGTGGGCGACCCAGGTGTCTGAGCTGTGCGATGGATGGAGAAATCAGCCGCTGTGACTGCAGACAGGACATGCCAGACCTTCCGGTGTCGAGGATGACCTGGAACGGCTTTCCGCCGACGGTGATGTTCACGAGGTATTCCTTGTCGAATGCGGCGCCGTCAAGTCGGAGGGCGGATTGAGGCGTCTGCTTGCGCCCTGCCGGAGACGCAAAGCGCTTCGAAGCGCGGCGAGGGACATGCCCAGTCACAGGCACGACCACGTCCGCGGTGGGAAGGCCTGAGATGGAGGCGAGGACGCCAGAGACCAGGGTGAGGCACACGAAGGCGAATAGCGATTGCATGTTCGATGGGATTTCAGCATTGGCGCTGCCTTCTTATATTCCCTTTGCCGTCATTGACCTCGGTTATGCATACAGCTGGGCGGAGTAGACATCCCGCCTCGTCGTCAACAGGATAGCCTTTCGACTGTGAGAACACGCGAGCGTCCTGGTTGGGATCTCGGTACGCGGTGCGGAAGCTGTAGAATCCATGCAGATGATGGAGTGGAATCAAAGGCGGGACCAAGTGACCAAGTCACCCCAGGTCACTCTTGCCACGAAAGCTGTCGAGGGGCTGTCAAGCTGTTGCGAGCTAGCCTTTGCGCTCCTGCAACCGGTAGTCTCGTCTTCCGACTGTTCAACTCTCCACGGATTTATACGGGCTACGCTTTATCTCGCGTGAATGCTGCTTTTGGCCGAAGCCTGGGTCCAGCACACGTTGCCTTCCCTCTATACTTCCGACCGCACTTGTCGCGCGGGGAATACAACAGTGAATCTGCCGGCGGAACCAGAACCCATGTGTCGTGCCCCCTTGGGCTAGGGCTTCTTGATCAATCGTACGGTTGGTTGTGACTCACTTTTCGTCGAGGGTCTTTGGCCTTTGGCCCTTTGATCACCAAGCTGGCACGTATGATGCCCTGTGAAATGCTCGCTCTGACATCTAACACGGCCCACTGCTCGAGGATGAAGCGTGTATGACCGCCATGTCTCCAACTTATCCAGACTAGACCTGTTGGCCCTCGAGGATCAAGATCTCGCTCTCTCTGCTCTGCAGTCCTTGCTTCTTGTCGGCCAATCCTTGAGAGCGATATTTCACCCTACCGGCTGATCGATCTGGAAACGAATGCGTTCACGCCATACAGAACTATCGACGATCTGCTTTCTGAGCTCTGGCCGGCGATTGTTTCTCGCTCTCGGACCATCGATCGCTTGCATCAATGGATTTGGGCGAGCGTCAGCTGATTACACAGTGTCGTAAATTGGACAGATCATCGGCATTGGTCAGCCCACTCACAGCGCCGTCCTCCACTCATTCGTGAAGCGCTCGGCCCTCCTCTGTGCCTGCCATCGACGGCGATTTCGGCGCTTTACCGCGGTATGGCTTGAGAGCCAAAGCGCGTTTGGTCGCCTTTGGCCACCTGCAATTGTTTAAAAGGCGCAGCTGGTTTCCCAACTCTGTCCCGCCACCCACTGCTCCATCTTTCTATACCCTCACGTTCTCGCCTCTTGCTCAAACCTATCGCATCTTCGCCCCTCATACCAACCATCCCTCCACATGAAGCAAGCGCACTCCGTCCGGACTTCGGTCCAGCGCTTCGACCCGATGCGTGCAACTCACTACAAGTAAGTTGCTGGTGGCATCGCCTTGATACTGGGGATGGCATTGACCCTGAATCGCAGGGACTATCCATTTGAGCTCAACAGAGGCCGGAACATCTACAACTAGTATGTTCTATACATTCATCGAAATCGTTCTGCTCGCTCACGATATGGTGCAGTCGCTCTGTTCCAGTGGCACCGCCTACCAAGCCTCCTCCCGTCAAGACAGCCATGTTGGTGTTCCTACCACACTATTCCGCTCGTTGCTGACCCGCTTCCAAGTGTGGATCCCGAGGCGGGCGACCACAAGGCGCAGAAGGAACGCGTTGATCAGCAGATTCTACCCCTGCCTTCTGTTGCGACCCCTCAAGAGCCCCTTATTGACGACACCGAGTTCAAATCCTCCGACTACGTGCCCGAGATTGATCTCGAGGAGCTCTTCCGCTTCCAGTTCCATTGAGGAGCTCATATGTCCACTGCACACTTCATTCATATCTACATGCATGTATCAGATACCATTATATCTATGTTTTCATAGCCCAAGGACTTGTCTGACGCCCCTCCATGATATTTACGTGCCTGGCTCCATGATCCATTGTTGTCTCTTGGGCCACTTCCTAATTGGAAGTTCCTCGAGATCACTTCCCGGACGCATCAGATTGCCGGGTGAGGTGCCGGCAGTATCCCCGCTTCGGACCGCGTGCGCAATCAGTTCACATTTTTCTCTTTCCTCCGGCCCCGTCTGCGACTCGATCAAGCTATGCGACGTGTTGGATAACCGCAAGATCTCTGCGATTTCCTCATTCGCTGCGCACGGAGTGCTGAGACGAGACTCAGGCGTATGAAGCATTTGCTCGTGGGCCGCAATTCTGCACGAGAAAATGTCTCAGATAGGCGCTTTGGACTTCGACGCTTCAATGGCGACGAAATCGGCATCATGAGCACCCCAAATCCTCTTCGTGGGTGTAAAGCGCCATGGCTCGTCTTCCGGCGCATCAATCCATTGTCCTCCCCGGTTATCGCACAAGATGCTCTTATCTGATAGATTGGGTTGTGCTTACGGATATAGGTCCACGGCTTGGGGCCCGGGGGCCAGCTAAGCGCTGTCAAGATAAGATCAGATTCGCATCCTTACCTGGCTTCTCATTGTGCGACACATTGGGTGAGGCGGGTCAAGGTGGGTTTATATAGACAGGGCGTGCGCTGGGCGGCGCTTTTCTTCGCCTGTTGCCTTTCCTGAACGCACTTGTTCTGGCCTTTGCACGCACGAACGAGCTTTGATAGCCCGAAGACTGCTTGATTCCACGATGCTGTCATCCCCGTACGACCCATCCCTCGCTGCCCTGGCGGCACAAACGGCCACTACGAGTGCCCCGACCAATGCCTCTGCTGCCAGTAATCTGGTGTATGCACCCAGCAGCGCTCCGAACGGCCATACCATCCAACAGTTTGCGCAGCCCCAAGTCCAATGGCCTCAGCATCCGCAATCGACACACTCATTCCACCCCGGTGCCCAGACGGCGCCAATGCCGTCTTATCATATGTACAGCCCTGCCAGTAACGGCGGCGCGCCGCATGGGTGGCCGATCCTACAGGCTGCAGTCCCGCACCCCGCACGTCCGATAGTCTTCCATCCCCGGGCGGCGCGAATGCCCGCTGCGAGCGCACCGAGCTCCTCACTCGGGGGCGGAGATATCGTGTATGTACGTCACGGCGGCGCGCCCTCTGGCTGGCCTGTCCGACGACAAGCTGTGCCGCCGCAAGCCCCATCGTCTCACAACCCTCAGCCTATACACTCCTTCACGACTGTTCCCAACTTTGTTCAGCGTCCAATCCCGACTCCGAATCTTCCCCCGTCGGGCTTCACATTCCTGTATCCCGTTTCCAGGGCCGTCCCAGTCAACCAGTTTACCCCAGCTCCCGTCCCGAACGCACATGCTGGCGCCAGTAGCAGCACGGCCGGCCCGTCTCAAGTCCCTGCTGCGACTTCCGACCCTTTTCGGTACTATCCACACTGGAATCCCGCTCCCGCTCCCGCCCCCGCTGCTACTCCGATTCTGCCTGCAAACATGGCCGCCCCATCTGCGGCGCTTCAGTCGGAGATGGCTCGCATCATGCAGAACCAGCGCCTGTTCTTGCAGAGAGAGCAGCAGGTCCAGCCGGTGTCCCACCAGCAGCTGCAATGGCAGCAACAGCCACATTACCAGCCGCTGATGGCTCAGCCTGCTGTTGCTGGGGCTGTCTCGAACAACCACAAATCGACGTCTGGTGTTGCGAAGCGCCCTCGGTGGGTTTCCTCTCGTCTCCTTTCGTCTTTCTCACTGCTGACACTTCCTTCTTGCATAGCACCGTGTCTTCTGCGAACTGCAGTGAACAGCCGGCGAAACGATTAAAGCGGAGGTACTTGGTTCATCTTCTGTTCTCTTTCGTATGCTCACTCGGCCTCCAGTTCCGATGCGACCGTCCCAGAGCCGCAAGCTGCTTCCGTGCCCGACGTTCTTCCAGAGGGCCAGCAGCCCGTCGTCGAGGACAACCCCGCTCATCCGCCCACCCCGTCTCGTGCTGCGTTTGAGAACATCGTGAATACCCCGTCTCCGAAGAGTCTCGACCGTCGCGGAGAGAAGTTCGAGACTCCTCACGAAGACAGCGTCGAGGATGCTCTTCTGAAGCAGGCACTGGGGTCAGCGTGCAAGCCAGAGGACATTTTCGCTGCGTTTGTGGCTGTTCCCGACGATGAAGACGACGACGCGCTGGCTGAAACTCAACCACTTCCGCCCATGCTCAATCTAGCCAACTTGGCTGCATCTGGGACCGACGAGGACGACGAACCTATCTGCGTGGCCTCGGGACAAGGCGCGCTCCCCGCGTTGGTTACCGACTACCTATTCGGTGATCTCCCGTCCGACCCTTTCCTTCGGATCACCCACGAGGAGAGTTTCCGCGTTGCAGAGCGATTCTTGGCGCTCTCCGGGATCGATGAAATCTGGGATCTCGATGATGATGAGATGCCTGCCCTGGTTATGCCGGTTGACCAGGGATGCGTGGATCCGAACGACATTCTCATGTTCCCTTAAGCCTCTGTTTTAATCGACAAACACACTCACACTCGTTCTGTATCCGTTTTGATGTATCCAGTAGGTAGCAAGTACTCAGTCCGTAGTCCGTAGTCCGTAGCGTAGCACTGGAATAGAATAACATCAGTACAGTATGTACTTATGGCAAACGCAACACGATCATGAAAAGCGAGCATGAGCCCTGTCATAAGACCGTTGCCGTAGCACTTGAATAAAATAATATCAGTACAGAATCTCCCTAAAACGAAGTACGATTGTGAAAAGTGAGCATGTGATTGTCTCAAGACGGCTGTCGTTGAGTTGAGGGGATTCATATTATCACCAGGAGAGTAGAGAATGAGAAAAGTAGGGAAGAACTGATGCAGAGCACGCACAGCCAGGATGTGTTCCCAGTAACATGAGGCCCACCGTCTGCATTTCTGCAGGGTGGAATACCTGGTCCGGTGAATTGATCTCGAAATGCTTTCCGTTATATGAGTGACAGGTACGGTCGACTCAACGCCGGTGAGAGAGAATGGGATGATCCACCCTAAGGCGAGCAGCCCAAGGCCGACATCAAAATGCCGTTGGTGCTTGTGAAAGTTTTCAGTATGGAATACTGTAGTCCTGCAGGAAAGGGTGAGATCAGCGACTTGCGCTCGGGAGTTTCGATCCAACTGACCCGTGAATGGTCAGAAACATGGGCGCCCAAATATCTGTATTGCATGGATGAGACCTGAAACACCAGAGGAAAAACATTTCCGCCTTGAGAGAATGTGACCGGGTGCTAACATTGGGTGTCATTCGTGGAGTTTTAACACCTCGAGTTGATCCCCAATGTTTACGTGGACTTATTTGGGATCATAGAAAGGCAATCTTGGTCCTGTGGCTTCATTTTTGTGCTTTCCTCTATTCAGCGAGGGCCAAACTTTGCGATAGATTTTCAAAGATAAGATCTAGGTCTTCATGATTAATAGCACTAGTTATGCAAGTAATTCGAGTCCTCTACCGTTTGCCAGGAAATATTCTAATAGCAGAATTCAGTGATCTCGAAGGTCATGGGACAGCTGAACTACATCCCGCAAACACTAATTCCAACACGTGTAACTAAGAATAAACGGCTCAGTGATGCCATGTCTCCGGGTTTGAGTTTATAAAGGAGATTTGCTCTGTAAAGAAATGAGCATGATGCAAATGTCAATGGACTAAGCCAATCAAGCATCTACCCTTGCGAAAGGTGTCAGGAATCATCGTCAGATTCGCACCGTTCAGTTGCATGAGCGACTTTGTGAGCAAATTAGTCACACTGATGAACAGTTCTAAAACCTAATGGCTCACCTTTGCCATCGGCGTGAACTGCGTCCACTCGGGGCGTGAAATTCCAAGCCCGTCGTTCGGGGTAAGACTCGTCGCGAACGAGATCTAGAAATCGGTCATGATGCGGCTGATTGTTACCGACGCCGACGACGTGTCTGCCGGTGTGCCGAACACGTAGAAGACCTCGGATCCGTGCGCGACTATATGTGAGCCCCGACAAGTCAGCCCTGGGTTGCGAGCTTCTTCAATTGTACAGGACGTACCGCCGAGCTGAGGCAGTCCGTTTGGCTGGGGCTGGGTGAACAGGTATCCGAAAGTGGTTACCCCGGCATTAGCTGCCGCTTCAATCCACAGCCTCCGTTGGGAGTGGAAATCCAGATCTCCTTCTGCGAACAATTGTGAGATAAAAGATTGAGCTTTGAAGTCGCAGGTTCGACGTACCAATTGCTGATGCTCGCTTATATTGACTGCTCAGTCCGAAGGTGTTGTTTCCTGTACCGTATGGCGATCCTGGAGCATATGGGTTCAATACGCGGGGAACAAGAAGGGAAGAAAAACAGTGTACCGAGGGCAGGAACATCCGGATAGAGTTCCAGAAGTTTCTTGATGGAACTCTGGAGCAATGTAGGCGAGACGGAGGGTGTGCGCCCCGAGATCAATGATGCATTGATGGCGGCAGTCGAGTTGATCAGCTGAGAGGTGAGCGCGGTTCCTGTGACCACGTGAGGCCGGTTACCCTTGGAAAACCATTCCACTCACCCTCGTCGAGGTTGGTCCCAGCGATGAACGGAATTCGGGAGAACTTTCCCTGCGACAGAAGACGCGACGGCAGATCGGGGATCAAGCCCTCAGGACCATCGATCACTGGGTTGAACGGAACCTGTTCGTTGGTCTCTGCCAAGGAAGTGAGCAGCCCCTCGAGGAGCTCTTGCGTGGTGACATTCCGCAGGCATGAAAACGTCAAATGTGCCTTTGCTAGGGAGGCACAAGAGGGAACGCCCGCCACAAAGCTTGTCCAGATATTCTGCCGGCGAGTCGCAGGAAAGATCGCCACTGTGGCCTGTGATCCGGACTCGAAAATCTACGGGGTGATTCAGATTTTTTCCTATGACAAGAATATTGATCTTCCCGAGATACGCACCGCAGCACGCGCCAATTTGTCAACTCGCTTGTTCAAGAACAATATCGACGTAAGGATGCTTCCTGCACTCTGTCCAAACGCAGTAACTTTGCGCTTGTCGCCACCGAACTTGCCGATGTTTCGTTGGACCCACTCTAGCGCAGCGATTTGGTCTTTGATCCCGAGGTTGAGTGCTCCTTGATCCATCGCCTCCTGGCCTTGGGGGAAGCCGAGTGGGCCGAGGCGATAGTTGAAGCTGACGAAGACTACGGGAGTTCCCTGCACGATCAAGTCTTGTCAGACTAAGTCCTTGATGAGACATTGGGAGACACTTACTCGGGCCACGCTTTGCTCAACAATCGTGCTGCCATTGTAGACCACGGAGCTTCCACTGAGGAATCCACCTCCGTATCTTTGAAGAGGTGATTGGTCAAACTCGCTTGCAGCTGGCTCGGAGAGATCCTTACGTCCAGAACATCTGTCCGACGGGGATCAGGTCGATACAGGGAGAGGCGCATCCAAACCGTACTTACCACAGGGAGTTTTGAGGTTGAATCGACACCGGCAGGACGAAGAATGTTGACCGTCAGACAGTCCTCGGACAGCGCAAAACTGGTGGGCAGACCCTGCACGTGGGACACATCAACACAATATCCGCAGCGCCGCAGCTCAGACGTAACGTACGCCAGGTGTACTTCCGCCGAGGGGCTGGATGCATGACGGCCCGTACTGGGCGGCATCGAGTGTCGTTGCGTTCAGCGACGTCTTCAAAACTGGAGGACGGAAGCGGAGATCGCCGAGCGGTGGCTCAGCGTAAGGAATGCCTGTGTTCGTGTCGTGCGCCATCAGCTTATGCAAATGTCGGGGAAGGTGGGCGGCGCACCTGCGAAGAACTCCTGGCTGAACGTCGGGATGCTGCGCCCGACCACGGCTGTTTGGCCGAGCTGGACTGTCGGAGCGCCTCTAGCGACGAGGGCAAAAAGTAACACAGAAGAGATCACGGCTGAGGTTCGGGTCATCGTAGTCGCAAGAGGAACCGTCAACTGGCCAGCTGCGCTATCCATCTGGAATTTAAATACGGCCAATGCCGTAACTCACCTCACCGTGCGAATATCGAGTCTCCATTTAGCCAGACCGTAGCCTCATACCTCTCATAAGTCACAAGGAAACCACTCCGTTTTTTCAGGGCTGATGTCCGTTTTGGCGACATCCTTCTTCTCCTCGGACGCTTGACGGGACGCTTTGGCCGGATCGTACTCCGGATTTGCAATAGTCTCCGTTGTCATGAGTGCCGGAACGAGATCCGTGGCCTGCGCGCAGTGCTGCGCAAGATCCTCGATCATCTTCTCCTCTAAGTTCTAGCCAGCATCATACTAGGTGCGGAAGTTCTGCGGCCCTTGTGTCTCAAGCTCCATGTGATAGTCAAGTCGGCCCACGATCTTCGTAGCCCGCAAATCCATATCCTGCACCGCAGGCTGAAACCTCTTCCGAATCGCGCGCTGAGATTCTGCAGCATCTCTTTGCGTGTGTGTCCGAGAATGTCCCAAAAAGAAGCTTTTTCCGAGTGAAAAATGCATTTTCTTGCGGTTACTGACGTGCCAGGTAGTGTGCACGCACGTCTGAAATTTGCCGCCTAGTACCCATCCGCCGGTTATCACTTAGGTAAGGTTTGGGCGCAAAAGAAGACCTAGTCAAAGGGTGGGACTTGCGGACTGAACAAGGTAAAATGGTTGGGAAACCAAGAAGCAGTAAATTCAAAGGGATTCCAATACATATTAGGAGGTAGAATAAAGGGGAATAAAGAAAACAATGATTGACTTTCAGATGATTCAGTCTGTTTGATGCATTCCCATGAGCCAGTGATTTTATTCGAGTACAATGAGCCATAAAGGCAAGGCGAACAGATCTGCCAACTCATGGTGCGGATCACTCAAAAGAGCTGGGGTGATCGTTGCATGATGTATGAGATGCATTCTGTCAGAATATCAAGACATCGAGTTTTGCACAAACGACTTTTTGACAAATCTACTGCTTCCCGTGGCTAATGGGCTGGGGAACAGCCAAACGATCGAAATGTGCGATAGATCTCATCAGATTGCTTTGCTTCTGCCCATCGCCCTAGGAGAAGCTCGTCAAGATTGCCGCTCTCGAATCGGAAACTGTGACACGTACAATCATGATGTTGGGGAAGCCAGGGTCGAACGGAAGGACGCTTTCGAGATAGACAATCTGTTCCGGAGTCAAGCTCACGTCCAGAGCCTCGACATTGGCCATGAGGTGTTCGATTTTCCGGCCACCGATGATTGGGAAGACATAGGGAACCTTGTGCATCAAGTAGGCGATTGCGACTAGAAAAAGCATGAGAAATATGTGTAGGTCAAGGAATGTGAACGAGACGAACCAGAGGTGATGTGCTTCACTCCGACTTCGCCAGCCACCTTCTCCAGAGCAGCGGACATCTTCCTCTCGTCCTCATTGCGCTCCCAATTTGGTCCGAAAATCACGCGGCCCTTCTCTCCTGAAGCACGACGCGCCTCTTCTTCGGCATCGGTGCGCAGCTTCCCGCCGGCCAGCACGTTCCACGGAGCGAGAGCCATCCCTTTTCACGAAAAGTAAGCACACTGAGCGCGGGAGATGCGGAGCGAGAGCCCGTACCGTATGCGCGAGCCATGGGAATGATCTCGCGCTCGAACGCACGCCCCATCACATTCCATGCGCCCTGGTAGATCACAAACTGCGACTTGCCGTGGTCGCGCGCGTACTGGTTCGCCTGCGCAACAACCCAGGCGGGGGTGTCCGAAATTCCGAGATACAGAACCTTGCCCTGCACCACGAGGTTGTGCAGTCCGTCCATGACCTCCTCGACGCTGGTGTCCCAGTCCCACCAGTGCAGGTACAGGATGTCGATGTAGTGTGTGCGCAGCTTCTTGAGACTGGCATCCACGCTGAGGTGCATCGACTTGACGTTGTTGCCGACGTAGTTGACCTTTTGGGCGTACTTGTCCTGCCGCGCTTTGAATCCGCTGGTGTACTGGGGGGGAAATCAGCCAAAGTGAATTATTTTCACAACGCGGTCTGGTATGTGCACACCTTGGTCGCAATAACCAGCTGGTCTCGGATGTCGCGCTTCTCGGCCCATTCGCCGATGAACATTTCCGAAGTCTCGTCCTGGCTGTGGGTCGCGTCAGACGTGGGGCAGAGGCAGGCAGCCAAACAATCGACGCACTATCCGTTCGCTGTATCGATAAAGTTCCCGCCTGCGTCGAAATACGCGTCGAGCAGCTTGAAGCTGGACGCCTTGTCCATGGATCCCATGCCCAGCTTCTCCCACTGGTCGCCGATGCTCATCGCACCGAGCTGCAGCGGGGAGACGTGGATCCCAGCCTTTGCGGAGAGAGTGCGGTAGACGCCGAGTTTGGTCGCGGGCGGAGGAGGGGCCACGTAGAAAGACATGATGCTGTTCGAAAGTAGTTGTGTGTGTAAGGAGATGAGTATGGAGGAGCAAGGGTGGGGGGACACACTCTTTTTTATACGGTTTTCATTGCAGCGAGCGACTTGGAAGGATGGTCAACTGACCGTCTGTGCACGGATGTGGCCGAGATTATTCTGCGCCGACACTACGGCGGCTGGCTTGCGGGTGTGCTGCCGATGACTAATCCAGGTTTCTCGCGTCAAGCTGCGAGTTTTCAAACAGACGGAAAGCGTTCCGGCTACCATGAGGATGCCTCCCCTTTTCTTGGGGCAATATGATATTCATAGCAGAGTCAAACAGAAAGCCAAGGGTATTTTGATCGCGAAAATGATCGCTATCGCCAACGTTCCCAATTGGGAAACACCACACTTGCCAAAAAGGGAATCCAACGCCCCAGAGCCATAGCACTAGGATTTAGACTTATGACCGTGGCTGTAGCCATGAAAACATCAGTCTAAAGACATGGATGCAGCCATGCGCATGGCTAGAGCCCGCTAATAGGTCATCAGTCTAAAGACATGGATGCAGCCATGCGCATGGCTAGAGCCCGCTAATAGGTGATACGGCTGATACGGCACTCTGAGCCATCTCCGGCATCATCATTCTCGACAATCAGTAATCGCTGACAACGTGATGGATGGTCCCCGACACAGCTTGCGTAGCATGCAGGAGCGCATCATTCCCCGCCTGATAAAGATACAGGCATCACTCGACCATTCCCTCCACATCATTTGGTCATGGCGACACGTGCTTTTGGGCGCATGAAATCCTCGGGGCTCCCGCTCGGCTACGGTCTCTTTCGCGCGCTGCTGGCGCATGAAATTTGCCCGTTGACAGTGAGCATCACGGCGATTTCTGCAAACATCACTCGGTCAATCCCGCCCCTCTCCGCACGTGCTTTCGGCGCATCAAGTCCTCGGGTTCCCGCTCGGCGATTGTTTCTCTCATGTGCTGCTGGCGCATCAAGTCGACAGTGATCTTTTGCGCGCAGCTGGCACATCAAATCCGCCGGTTGATATTGATCTCTTTCGCGCGCTTCTTGCGCATCAGAGCGCATGCGCATCAAGAAGTCGCGCGACCCGAGCGACGCGTCCCGCCCCAGCGCCGACTGACAGATTTCACCATAGGGAATCCAGTTAGCAACGATACTGATCAGATTACATCAATGATACTGATTAGATTACCTCTCTACCAGCGCTGTCCAACGAAACGTTCGTAATATGTAGCCATACCTTCCATGATCCAAACAACGTCAGACACCGCTGCTTCCCATGATTGCTTCTGGGCCTCAGTCCCTTGTTTGATGACCTTCATCCCCCAGAAATATAGCGATGCCACGACCGTCATCAAACCATTTGGACCCCACCGATACAAATCACCCCATTCCTGCCCATCCTTGCCATAGGCACTCATTCGATCCCACAGTTTTCCATCTTTTTCGCGCTGCCGCCAATCGGGTTGCATGCTGTCCCACCAAGCCACCCAGTCCTTCTCGTATGCGGACAGACTTGGGATCTCTGGCACGCGTCTCCGACGACTGCTTATCCAGCCACTCAGAGCCTTGGGTCGATTCTTGCTGGGCAGAGCGGTCGGGGAAGACTCAAACTTGGACGCCTTCTCCATACGGCCCCAGGCAGCGATGACAGCATCATAATGAAGCCCGAGGTCCACAGCAGTGAGATACTCGTGACCAGCTGTGAACCAAGAAGGTGCGCCCGCGGGGCATGGCGGCACTCGACGAACCTTCGGAATGTCGTCGGCGATTGTCAAAGGAGTGACAGCAGCGGCCTTGGCGATGATCGGAACAGTGGCAGTCGCAATTGCAATTGGCGCATTGGCGGGAATGGGCGCATCGGCAGGGACATCAATGGGAATGGGCGCATCGGCGGGGATATCATCGGCGGGGATATCGGCGGGAATGGGTGCATCGGCAGGAATGGGCGCATCGGCGGGAATGGGCGCATCGGCAGGAATGGGCGCATCGGCGGGAATGGTCGCATCGGCGGGAATGGTCGCATCGGCGGGAATGGTCGCATCGGCGGGAATGGGCGCGTCGGGGATTGGCACATCGGGAATGGGTGCGTCGGGGATTGGCGATGCTGGATTGCTGGGAATGGTGGGGACATTGGACGAACGTGTCTTCCTGCTCGAGATCTCCACTGGCTTGGCCTGACGTGTCCGCTTTGGCACCGGGCTCTCGGTATCATCCATCTCCCCCGCTCCCCGCTTTGAGCCTGATCCCCCGTCCTTGTTCCCTCCCATCATTGCCGTCGTGGCACCAATCAGGTCAAGCTTTGCGAGCACTGCCTGGTTACGGGCAATGTTGCGCTCCCGAACCTTCATTGGCGCCAAATCGCTATCCGGGATTCCAGGCCATCGATCCAGATACGTGACAGTGCCGACATTGTCACCATACTCGTATGTCACCATCTCCGGTGCTCTCTGCGTTGGTGCGGGCGGTGCTGGTTCCGGGGCAGGCAGGGATACAGACTCGTCCACAGGTACAGCCGCTTCATCCCCGCCCATCTGCTTCTTGACTCGAGGTTTCGGCACCTTGGCCCTCGACTTCTTGACAGGCTGTGTGGCATCGGCCGTGTCGACCAGAGACTTCGCAGTCTTCCTTCTCTTCATCCGCGCCTTCTTCTTCTTTGCAGCCTCAGCAAGTGTAATTGCATCTTGGTCATCCTCGCTCTCTGTCCCCGAGGACCAAGGATCCTCCTCGTCTTCGGAGCTATCGCTAGCAGCAGTGTCGTCATGGGCAGGTATGGTGTAGAGGGCTTTGCTGAGAGCGGTTTTCTGAAGCACCTCCGAATCGTTTGGCAAAGCAGCGGCCGCACATTCCTGCTCAGCTGCATTGAAGTCAGTTTCGAAACGGATTTGGATTGGATAACCACGTACTGTATTGCGTTTTCAGGAACGCTACCATGAAATCGAGCACCTGAGATGAGAAGCGTTGTCGATCTGATGACGCCCAATTGCTTGTTCCTTCTTTTCCATAAGAGCAGCTGTTGAATGAATCAATTCTCGCTCTGAATGACGAAGGTAAGTGTAACTTACTGGATAGCGCGAATCTCTCCTCCAAACTCCGGCATTGGTCCACCCAAGATGAGTGTGCTAGAGAGACCAGTGGCGTCCATGATACCCTTCAGGATGGGCATGATGAACCCCGGCACTTGTTCGATTGCACTGTGAGACCGTGAGCTTCGAGATTCATGCACAATGACCAATCACATACAGATGACGACTCTCAGAATCGCGTGCTGGCCCTTCCCTCAATGAATCTTGATACTCTTCTCGCTTCCGATCAGCCTCCTCCCTTGCTCTCTCCTTCAAGGCGTTCTGCTCTTCCTTCGATAGACCGTCAAAGATTTCACGTGCAACCTCAGCCCGGAATCCGGCCCGGTACTTCAAATCTTCTTTGGCACTCCCAGAACCTCCCAAACTTGCCAACTGCTCAGTACGTCTCTGCTCAACAACAGGTGCAATCCTCTCCCGGTATGACTCGCGCATCAGCTGCTGCCAGCCCTGCAGCCCTTTCGGCGGACGTGTCAATCCCGATAGCCGAGCCAGAAGAACAGCATAGGCGCTTTTGCGGGGATCGAGGGTGGATTCACGGCGCTGCTTGAGCGAATGGCGTATGCGATAGATGAACCAGCGATTAATGCGCTGGTGGAAGAGGTGAGAAAAGGTCACGGGAACAACACGTGATCGATCGGTCACTCACGAGATTCAGCGCCGCAATTGTCGCGCGCTTCTGCATCGTCTCTTCTGCAGACAGATTCTCTGGGACTGGCGGCGCCTTGGGATCATACTCCCGAACTTCGACCGGTTCTTCATGGTCGGGAGTTCGCCAGTCAATAGCAGCGTGATAATGATTGCATGCCTGCTGCATCTTCTCGCGTTCATCGGCCCAGGTGCCCGACATACGTGCTAGGGTGATTGCATGCAGATGTGTGTTGAGTATAGTCTCTCTTGCGCCCACAGCCCAGAGTCGTAGATTCTTCCGCTCGTCTTTGGCAACCTTCTTGCGTGCGCGCTGAGGTGTCTTCTTCAGAACGGCCATCTGTATCTGGCCCATGTCAGCTCTTCAATACAAGGATACGGAATTTTGGTATTCACGTACTTCGAGCTAACAGCAGTCAACGGCGGTAAAGGGATAACAGGTCACTGTGTTTTTGTTTACCATTTCCAGCACTCGTGATCTTGCTTCGTTCCAGATCTTGAATCGCCATCGGGGTTTTGAATTTTCGATATAAGGACGCTCGACTGGCAAATCTTCCCACCCTCTCTTTTTGCCCATCAACTAAACACACACTCTCTCCAACCCAAATGACTGATCTCAACGCTCAAGCATGCGGGAAACCGTTCGTTTGTTTTCTGTACACTGTTTCCGTCCCGTAGCTGACTTGTATCTCTTCAAATGCATTCATGTGGCTTCGATTGATACCAGATCTCTATCCGTAACAGATACTGTCACTGCACATGGTGAGTTTCCCACCACGGGAGCAGTTCCGAGCTATGACGCAACGTGTCTGCGGGCAACCGCGGGCCCGCAGAGTCCAGACAGTCTGCAGTTGCCTGCGGACACATATATCACGATGTGCATGTGATGATAGTAATCCTTATTGACCTCATCCTTCACTTCCATGTCCGACAACGATCTCGAGCTCATTCAGCAGCTTCAACAACTCGATATCCAGCAGGACGATAATGCTCCTGCGCTCCCTCCCGCTTTATCTGCTACACGGTCCCCAAGCAAGATTTACGCTTATCGCACTCCAACCAAGTCTGGGGTTACTTCCCGGTGGTGAGGATCTGATTGGTTTCGGATGAACAGATGTTGACTCGCCAATAGGTCCCGAGCTGCGGCCGCTACACAGGGAGTACCTGGTGCCTCTGTCAAGAAGATTGAAGCCCCTCCAGCTCCCAAGAGGAAGCGTCCCAGCTGCTATGTGGTCTTTGTCGGCCGGTCTGAGGGGGTTTTTTCGCAGTGGTATGTTGTTGTCTTATCACGTGCAATTTTCGAATCTCAAACTTCTCACAGGACTGATGTAAAACGCTCAACAGATGGTTACAGCTGTGCAATTCATCGTGGATACCCGAACAGAGCAGATGCGGAGTGCGCCTATCAGTATGCTAAGCGACATGGCTGGACTCGGTCGCTCATCGCCAAGAACCTCACCAACGACTATCGCGCGCCAATTCCTGTCACTGCCGAGGGAGCGGATACTGCAAATCCTTTAGAAGGTGTCTCTGAGGTCCAATGCGACCTGTGGTATGTTGTATACTGTGGCCTGCGACCTGGCGTCTATCGATCCAACCTCGAATGCCAACTCAATGTGGCTGGCGTGCCAAACTCGCGGTACGAGAAAGTGTCCGGAAAAGCGGCGGCGCGATCAGCATATGCTACTGCGGCTCAACGGGGAGAAATTAGCTACCTTGGTGTTCCCTAGATACAATCATGAATGTGATTTTTGAGATTTATCTAATCTCTATCTAATCTCTATCTAATCTATGCTCTTGCCCGGCATCCCCGAGCATCGTCTGAGACATTCTTGAAAGGCTGAGGACACCAGAGCCAGATTTCAGCATGGAACATTGTTTAATATGATTGAATTGAACTCCTGGGGATAAATACTGACCGGAAACCGAAGTTTTTTTCTGGACCTCAAAATGTGCATGTAACAACATGAATTATTATACCAGGTACGACTCACAACAGTCTCATTGGCTGAATTTTCGAATCGAGTTGTACATATTGTCTGGTATAGGTTCATGATCCTCCAACATCCACCAATTATGCGCAGTTCCGTTATTGAGGACGTTATGAACAAAGTAAGGGATGCGAACTCACCATTCTTTGCTGAGTGTTTGAATCAAATATACTCATCAGATTCAATGCAATCTACAGAGCAAACTGTTGCCCTGGCTTTTTCAAGCAGATAAATTTCCAGTTCTGAACGCTCGAGTCTTGATTTTAGACGATTGCGGAGCTGAAATCGATTTAATTGTCGACAGTTAGCGAACTCACCATATTTCGGGAAACTGGTCACCATGCCGGTGTTTTAACTCTAATCATCTTAAGTCACGACATCGTTGTGAGACATGTTACTAGCTTGACCTTCCGCATTGCTGACGCGTGGATAAGCCACCATGGGAGCTAGGAAAGGTGAGTTAATAATTGTCGGGATGTGGCACGTGACCGTATCTCGCATCGTCTGAGCCAGAATTGGCTCTGTCACACTCTGTCACACTGTCAACACATCTATTCCCACTCGCCCAACATGACTGCCATCCGTCCGCCGCTATCAGCTCTCTCTTCCTCCGATACCACAGAATGGGAAACCCAGTACGCTAAGTATTACACCCTGATTGTCGTCGGGAGCTAACTCCGGACTAGAGAGGCCCGGCGCAAGGTCAGGAATGCCGCCTCGCGCATTCGTATGGCGCAGTATGTTGACATCACACTGTTGGAGCACTCCGCTCACTATGCTCTGGAGCAGGAAACGAGCCGCCCTCAAAGATCGCCCCGAAGCAGAACAACACGCATTCAGAGCTCGCGCGCGCGCTTCCCAGGCTAGTTATCGGGCACGTCACAGGGAAGAGTTGGCTGTCCGGGAGGCTATGCAACGCAACAGGTACGTCTATTCTCCTCTGCTTCTGTATCGTATCTCATCTGCCTCTCAGACTCTATTACGACAAGTTTGGCCCAGAAGCTTTCGACAACTTTGTGTCCGCCAAGAAGGCCCGTATCTTGGAGGGTCGCAAGCGGGAGCTGTTTAGGAGGGTGGATGCTGGAACTTGGGACCCTGCTGATCCTGTGCCAAGGGAGGATTATCGTGAGTATGTCCGAGAGTAGTGGACAGTCGATTCAACATTGTGAGCACATGTATGAAAGCTACTTTCTCAATACAAACAAGTCCCTCGCTTCCAAGTACATTTCGATTGCGTTTTCGCCCCTCTCCATAGCCATCTCTGCCCAGTCCCTTGTTGTCACCGAATCCGTCCCCTGCCACTGCATCCAGCTGGCAATCTCCGGGTAAGTCTCCTCCCATCGCAGATCTTTGTGCGGTGCCTGAAGATCCGTCAGTTCAGCAACAATGCTCCCTTTCACCCGTGAGTCGCTTTCTATGTGGACAATGAGGCAGCTTTGCTCAAGGATATATTCTGGGAACCCTGAACGGTCAAAATTACGTTGATACACAGCTGTAGCCCGCGAAAAATTTTGATTTGAGATCAATGGTACAAATCAGCATGTGGTGAGTTTGTCGAGATTGATACATAGCTGTAGCCGAGATCAATGGTACAAATCTGCATATGGAGAGTTTGTCAAGCCAAATAACAAGTGATACTTCCGATATTTACTGCATGAGACTGTTCCTGGATTGACCCCGGCATGTATCTCTCCAATGAGCATAGTGGCCGTCAAGGACGCGGCGGTCGGCGGGGAGGGCGTCCGAGTAAGGCACCGATATGGGACAATGCTTCACAATCCACGCCCGAAGTCTGGGAGATGGTCAGCGCGGATCGCGGATATTTCATGGCGGGTAGGGAGAACACAGCAGTACTGGATCTCAATAATGTCAAGCGCAAACGCCGGAAACTGGATTCGCACGCAGGAGGGACGGAGAACGAAGCTGCTTCCTGGATACCTGACGTGGGCGGTAGCGGCTCCGCAATCAATGATACGGACCTCAGTATGGAGGGTGACGATCCTCGAGCTGCGAGAATGGTGGAGGAGGACTCTGACGAAGAAGAGTTTGAGGATGAAGACAGTGGGCAAAAGGTCTACCGGAGCTCAGTGCGTTCTTAATTGGCCTGGTCGGGTGATCGATGCTGATGTTTGCGAGCAGAAAGACCCAATGTCTCTGTGGCGACCTCGAATGCAGTTATATGTCAAAGAGCTCTTGCGTAACGATGGTCTAGGAGACTACATGGAGAGTCCCCAGTGTGCCCGCTGTGAATGCGCACTGGAGGGCGGTCCGTGCCGCATTTTCCGATGCAACAACTGTGGGCCATATCTTCAATGTCAGGGATGCCTGCTCGACGCACATGAAACGATGCCTTTACATGTCATTGAGGTGCGCTCACATACCAAATGTGAATACAAACTTACCGTGAGCAGGAATGGACTGGACATTGGTGGACGAGAACGAGACTGGCAGATCTTGGACTCGTGTATCAGCTTGGGCACGGAGGATGGGCTTGCCCTTTTCCGAATCCTACTGTGAGGCAGCTCACGGTCATACACGCACCATACATCCACACAATCCGGTTTCAATACTGCCAATGTGATCGCTCTGACCATGCCAGCAACATCGAACAGCTGCTGCGTAATCAGTGGTATCCAGCAACCGGAATCGATCCCAATACCTGCGCTACTTACGAGACGCTCGAGTCCTTTCGTCTGTATTCGGTGGTGGGAAGCCTGAATGCCCGCGACTTTGTATCTTCATTGGAAGAGATGACTGCAATGTCAGCTCGCGCTGGGATGTGTAAGGTTCCGGTAAGTCCTATCAGCCTCTGGACTTGGAAAAGCACTGACTGGATCCATCGCAGGATCGCTATAAGCAACTACAACGGATGGCGCGCCAATGGGCGTTTCTTCTGCGACTGATTCGAGCTGGGCGGGGTCACGATCCGTTGGGCGTCAATAACACGAAGAATGGGGAATGTGCGGTGATATGCTGGGCATGTCCTTACGAAGGGAGGAATCTGCCAAAGAATTGGCGCGACATTGCTCCGGAATTTCGGTCCGCTGCCTTCATGACGTCACATTCACACGATTGACATTTTGACAGCTTTATCTACATGTTACTGCTGGCAATCGATGCAAATTTCCGGATGAAAAATCGACTGAGAGCAAACGAAATTCAAGATCCATCTTTGGGTCCGGGTTGGGGCTACTGGGTGGAACCGGACAAGTATCAGAAGCATCTCAAAAACTACGTCAGCGAGGAGGATGTTTGTGCTTGTTGTCAGCTGTCTCCAAATTGTCTGACTTTTCTCAGGCCAGCACATGTATCGCATTCGCCGCTCTTCTCCAAAAGAACACACGCTTAACGACTGGACTACGAG